TATATATATATATATATATAAGTACACATATATACATTTATACATCTATACTACTGTTAAGCACTATCTAAACTGCATCCGTAGAACCAGCGGGTGATTCGAACAACGCATTACTGGAACAACATCTCGATCGTGTCAACGACTGAACAACGGAACGCGCATGAACTCACCGCTACTTCTCCGCCGTTGTGCAGCCATGTACACATGTCCTTCATCGCCATCTCCGCTAACTCACTGCAGCGAACAAACGCAAGACGTCACGCGACGACGAGAGTGAAAGTGCATGTTACAGCACCGCAAAATATACAGCGTGTACAGTATCCCTTAGATCATTCTGCTAGTCGCAATGTTAGAAATATCAGCCTGTCTCGATCCAGAACCAGTTACTTTTGAGTCGGACTGCCCAATTTTTTATGTAGCTTTCTATGGGTTACTGTATAAGCTGTATATTTCGCAGTGGTTTAATTTTTGCGAATTGGACCCGGTGACTCCAGACGTGGATTAACTCTTAACTCTGGGTTAAATTCCTTAACTCTGAGTTAAAAGTTAACTCAGAGTTAAATTCCGTTCCACAGTCGTGGATTACCGCTGAGAGGGTCTATGTCCCCCGGGGTACTGCCGGAACGTACCCTGGTACTATATAATATGCCGGACCGTACCTCGCCTACTCCACTAACGAGTCTGGGGAATCGCCTACGCCTACTCCCTACCCCTAACCCTAACACTAACTCTAACCCTAACCCTAACCATATCAAATAGTGACCAGGGTACATTCCGGTATACCAAACCGTACCCAGGGTACGTTCCGGCAGTACCCTGGGGGACATAGACCCTATGAGCTGGATTAACTTTAACTTTGAGTTAAATATGCCTAACTCTGAGTTAAAAACTCTGGTATGAACCTAGATTAAACTCTTAACTCACGGTTAAAAATCAAGTTACATTCGATTTAGTTATAGTTAGTCTTCGGTATAATCCTTTAGACTTTGAAAACTATTTTCTACGAGGTTAGTTTAGCTCTAGGATACTAGTACTAGAGCTAATTAGTTTATCTAGTACTGCACCGTGTCCGATCCCCTGCTGCAACATACAGTGTTTGTTTACGTTTGTTGTACATTGGTCGGCCATTGATGGCGTACCAACAATGATTTTTATTCCCATCCCGGCATCCGTTCTGTGATGTATGTACGAAAAATGTACGAAATTTAGCGTGAATGTACGAAATTTACGAATGTACGAAATTTATGCAATTTCTGTGATGTATGTACAAAAAATACCGATAAAATTTAGCGATTTCGCATTAGCCGCAGCTGTTAAAGCGCCGTGCTCGACGCGAACGTCGCGAGTTCAATCCCCGCATTGACAAAATATTTTCCCTCATTTATTAATCGCTGCCGGTTTTCATTACAACGTTTTTTTCATTACACCTTCCATTGCGTCTATCATGTTCGTCTGTTCTAACTACGTGGAATTATGGGATACTAACTCTGAGTTAAAACATTTTAATCCATGTTTATGAAACCCAAATTTAACTTTACTAACTCAGAGTTAGTAGTTTAACTCAGAGTTAGATGTAACTCAGGGTTAAAAGTTAATCCACGTCTGTGGAACCGGGTCCAGGAGTAAATTCAAACAAACTTTAGTTGTTTAGTCGTTCGTCTGTCGTGTTCATAGTTGGTTGTATTTATTCGCTTGTATAAATCGCGTTATAGAACGCTGCATCGCCCATTGTGTCGGAGTTTGGCGCAACTTACTTTCGGATCTCTCGCGACTTGAGGTTGTCCGGTCGGAAGAAGTCGTGACCGTCGTACTGGTTGTGAAACATCAGCCGTCGATACTCTCCGACGTTGAACACTGAAACACAACGACGCGGTGATGGTGAGCGCCACCTGGTGATTAACGCTACCTGGTGATGAGCGCCACCTGGTAATGAATGCCACCTGGTGATGAATGACGTCTGGTGATTAACGCCACCTGGTGATGAGCGCCACCTGACAATGAGCGCCACCTGGTGATGAACGCTGCCTGGCAATTAGCGCCACCTGGTGGTTAATGCCACTTGTGCCAACCATGTTGGATTAACCAGCAAATCAGGAAAAATGAGTACCAGGAGGTTGCTACATGCAGCGACGCAGGCCGGCGGCCCTTGTACGTAGTACCGCTTACCCGATTTCCCTCCGAAGATTCAACACAACGTGCGGTAACACTCTCTCGAAGAGGCAGCCTAAATAACCGTCAATGCTGTCAACCACAACACGCGACTACCTCACAGCAGGCCCTACATCCAGCCACGGTGCCCAACACCGATTCTTCAAGCCATACTAAGCAGGGTTTCTTATACATAAGAGGCACAGTGGCGCACCGCCGTTGTCAAATTTAACATCGCCGTTGTGAAAATGCTCCTGTAACAATTTTTAACATTCAAATTTTTAAAATTTTGGGGGAGTTCTCCCTCTCCCTCTCTCGCCCCGCGTCCGCCTGCAGCGTCCGCATGCGTGTCTACGGCACACCTTTGAATCCATCATACACGTTTTTTTCCCAAAACTAGCCATTACCTCCTTTGTCTAATTTTCCCTCAGAAGAAACCCTGCCAAGTCTTTCCATCGAAGATCTTCTACCCAGAAAGACGTATCAGTGCGCAGCACGACTCTTATAAGATGCGTCGGGCGATAGCGCGGCGATCGATTCTCGGAAGCTCTTACCCTGTGTGTTGACTCCGCACCAGTTGAGGTAGTGAGCGAGCTTGCGGGATATGTAGGTCTTGCCGCGCGCGGGCAGTCCCACCATCGCGATCACGTGCGGCACCTTCACGAGGTGCGGAGCGTTGCCTGAAACAAGCGAACATCGCGACTGTAAGATATTGAGATCTATACAAGCATAATGTATTGTCTTGTACCCCGATGTTCTGTTGTTTTGATACAGCGCCACCTATCGTAATAAACCCTCTTTCAATATGGCTAAACCTGCTACTAAAGCCCGGCGGACACGTGAGTTATTTTACTCAAGTAAAATGACGCACGAGTCAAATTATTCAACGAAAATCCGCCGCACACGTGAGTAAAATGACTCATGCATCATTTTACTTGAGTAAAATAACTCACGTGTGCACTGGGCTTAAGAAGTAATGTTTTGGTATCCAAATGTATCCGTCCCAATCTAACCTAATCAACCCACAGACATTATAGTGACCTCGACACGACCCTGAACGCGGCGCGCCAAATGAAGAGATGAATAACACGTTAATGACCTTATTGCTCTAGTTGGTGATACAATGCGGCATCTCAAGTTTTGATGGGATTATGTTAATTAAAACGAGCTGTCAGAGCTCAACTAAAACGTGATCAGGAGATAAACTAAAGCGGTTAACACATGTAGGATTACACGGAAAGGCATGATGTAAGAGACAGCCGGAAACAATACGATAACGGAGAAGCTTCACTATGGGCTGTGGTCACGACTTATACAGACTATGATAAATACTAGAATAAGATTCATATTTATGTCATGGGTTTCCCACTGTTTGTGGCGGTAATGAAAGAGGATATGGGAGGGGGAGTGAAGAAGGGAGAGGGTGAGGAGAGAGGCCAGAGACAGAAGTCGAGATAGGGGAGAAAAGGAAGAGAAGAAAAACATGGGAGTGAGAGAGAACTGGAGGGAGAGAGGGGAAAGAGCTTACTTTATCCTATTCCAATTTATGCGACGATTTATCGTAATCCAAAAGTACTTATGCTGTACATTGATGAATTTAGAACAGAGAATTACAATTCGGTAGTGAATCTCAAACGGCTGTGAAATTTAGCTGCTATTGATTTGATTTTTCCTTTACGTTTTTGAACTTATATAAGGCGCATTGGGTCAGGATAGATGCATGATATATGCAACACAAAGATATAATTTCTATATATAGATCTATGGTTAAACAACACATAATCAATCAAAAACTAATAACACCTAGGTACCTCATAATAATACCTAATACTTAAATTGACTACGTCACGAATTTTCTATGGTAAAATTTGTAAAAAAAAAATTCCTTTTTTTTACATTAAAAGTAAGAACTAACGTTACTAAATATATCCTCAAACTCTCACCTGATAAAAATGTTTTTACGTTGGTTAAATTTGCAAAAATCTAGACGATTTTAATTTCTGTTGTCTAACACTATTCCCCCAGTACTGTTCAGACACTGGTGTCTCTCGGCTTTTCACTGGCAAATTAGGGCATATAAAAAAGGTATATAAGCATGAAAAGTAAACAGACACACTAATTATATTTTCATACATTTTATTTTGTACAAATAACACACAAATATACTACTTGATGGTGCTAGAAATTCGTTACGTAATCACTAATAAGAGATATTATTAGCTCTTGTATTCATCTAACAGCCCCAACTAGCATCGAACATTGGCAACAAGGCCACTTACATTCGCAAAGACAACAGAAATAACTTCCACGCACTTCACAACTCTGCCATGGGTTTACAGAGAGGTCACACTGCTTATGTATACGCGGAATCCAAACACACATGTATGCCCCACAGCAATCCCTAACCTTCTCGAATGCTGCTGCAAATGAGAAATTCGTGAAGGTTGCCGATAATAGTATATTCTTCTGCGGCACCTTGTATATATATTCACTCATGGCTCTTCCTGGTAGTTTTTCAGCAATACGTAAAAATTGCCAAGCACCAAGACATATAGATAAAAGGGTGTAATGCAAAACCAACTGTTTTAATTTTACAATTTCCCCCCTTACTGTACCTTTGTACTGTGGACTGTATTTCTCCTAACATTATCACAAGGCGGTGCGGTTTGTTCAGTATGGTATTTCCATTTTTGGTAGCAACCAATCAGTACACAAATATGCAATCTGTTGCAAGTGAAAATAAACATCACAAGACAGCTAAAACAGTAACTTGATCATCTCTAGACTTCAGAATACTTTTTAGATCAGTTTTACGCTAATATCGTCACACTTTTAACTTACTACACTACCAACCATAACAATTTTCATGAGATCTGAACTCAATGTCTCAAACAAGTATTTAACGTACTTATAGCAGCTTATAAATTTCAACTGATAACATTTTAGAGACGTAAATTTCTTCATTTGGGTCGAAGAAAACTTGTTTTAGGGATAGTTGTGAGATGACAGTTTTGATTTGTATCAGTGTTTACAATGTTTTTTTTATATTTGTGTTGAATGTCGTAGTTGAAGTTCGGTTATGCTGCGCTGTGTTACCCTGTGACATTATACCCTGTACCCTGTGATGTTAGCCACAGATACATGTACTGCAGACAGCTTGGTACAGCAGGATAATGTTTGCTTGGCATGGCAGGGGTAAATAGCTTGATCTGTTTGCTCAATTTATACACCGTTTGCCAAATATATAACCAATATCTAATATCTACAAAATCTCCAATATATAACCGTTTGCTCAATAACACAAACAAGTTTTATTGTTGCATCTCGTTATGATCGAACGTTGATAGTCATCTAAGAGATTATAAATTAACACCACACATCCATATACATGCATTCTAGGCTGAAAACTTTGTCAAAATTTACATTATGTTAAATAGATTGATAAACCTGAACCAAATGCAGGATTGTCATTAGAGAAACTCCAAGTGGTTGAGCCAGAATCTGTGCTGCACTTCGAAATTTAGCAGCATCAAGGGTATCGATGCGCGATGACTTGTAAGGAAAGTTGAAAGATTGCAAATTTGGATGGCTACAGTCAAGCAGGCAAGGCATGCTTGATACGGCAGACAAGGCAGGCAGATAGATACAGGCCGACCTCATCCGGAAATCTCTATTAACCGGCCGCGATCTCGCAGTGTATGTTCTATTTTTCATTCATTTCCACCCAAAAATATCGCTCAAAACTCGTGCGATGTACCAACCGTACGTGTGTTTGCGTGTGCGCGCGCGTGTGTGTGTGTTGTCCGCTCGTGTCTGCTATGCCTCCGGTAAAATTTCTGTTTTATTTCATTTCATTTCCATTTCATATAAACCATAAAACACGACAGTTAGTTACAAATAATCATAGCAACGAGTAAATTCATTATCACATGCATAAACCCTACTGAACTGCATAGAAATGCTGTGTTTGAGCATAACTCTCGTATCCGGCCAAATCCCATGTCGGGATGGGTGCCGGTCCCGACGTGGCCGGATAAAGGAGGTCGGACTGTACTGTGCATTATTGTTACTATCTCTCCGACATTTCTCTTAATCTCCATGTCAGTGTGTAAGCCTAGCCCGACCAGGCTGTGCGACGGATTGTCTATACAGGGGTATCCTAACCCTAGCGATACCGTTTCTTGGAGCTATGTGTAAGCCCTGCTTGTCAGTATGTGAACTTGAGAGTGAGAGTGAGTGTGTGCTGACACTAAACAATTGTACAGTCTCGATTGACAGCAGGGTAGCTTTGTGGTTATAGGCAATACAGCCTACTACTGGCACACTGTAGGATCTGCTAGTGACCTCATTTCTCATGTTTAAGTTATCGTAACAACGAACCCGAAAAGAAAGTATATGAACGTGCACATTTGCTATAGTGCTGCTACCAGTACCACCCCATCGCCAACAAACTACCGAGTGATACACTCCGTAGATTTTTACAAAATCTGTGTCCAGTCCCTGACTGTCTGACAAAAGTCTCGTGGGAAGTTCATCGATAAAATTTGTTGTAATTTAGCGTGATTAGTGTGTATCTTGTGTATGAAGCAAAACTTTTTTACGTATTTTTTATTAATTTTTGTGCCACTCAAGACTCGCTGTCTCTATCATGGACGCCATCTACTGGCGAATTCCACGAGTACTAATACTACCAGGAGTAAGATAATATAGGCCTATATTAGACCTATATAGACCTATATTATCTTACTCCTGATACTACTATACTCTATAGTACTACTATGTAATAATGCCTATGAGTATGATATAAACTCCAAGAACAAGGATAGAGAGCCAGGCAGGAAGCGCCTGCGGCAACTGTACGCGGCCCGGGCCTATAGTACTAGAGCTAGTCCAGTAATAAACATCATCTCTAGCCTTGAACCAAGGTGCTAGTAGTAGTACCCGTAATACTAGTACTACGGACATAAACAAACTTGGCTCACCCATGGCAATCCGTCTACCACCTCCCGCGTCCATTCTTGGCATTTTTTACCACCACGATCACGTAGCGTGCAAACACTGAATAGAAGATGTACGCGTATCTTCACGCTATTAATATTATAAGCAGTATATACCGCCCTCCGACCGTGCGATGTACGCGAGATCAAAACACAGCAAAATCGTTCATGGCGTGGAACAGAGCAGTCTTGTGTTGTGGTGCTCCCCACGCATAATCTAGCTTACAGCTGGCGATGTAGAGCGCAACTCGATCATGGACGCCAGGATGAGGAACGACAGCGTTTCTAGACTGTCGCCAACGTACTTCTGACCTCGTTTCCGCCGTCACACCTCCGCACTACCGACCAATCAGCAGTGCTGTCCAACAACATAATGAGCCCCGTCTATGTTTGCTATTGTTTATTTTGGTACAAGGGACGTCGTTTGACCACAAGCAAAATTTCAAGATGAAAATTCCGTATCTGTAACTGTATATTATGAGACATATAGCAGAAATACTCTATAATACGTACATTAAAAACCATTTTTATACGTAAATTTATAGTTGATGCGCATTAATCAGCTATAGCTAAGCGTATAGGTTACATAAAATATATTAGCACAATTTTCACATAGGACCTATATATATGACCTAATTTGTAAAAGCAATGCAAATATTTGCTTGCTTGGTATGTTTTCTTAGATAATAATCAATGCATACAAAACAGATAATATATGTGCATGAATGGAATATGCAATTAATTATGTAACTATACAAAGGAAAAATCTACAAAATGTTCATGACAAGCACGTACACTATATATATATCAGGAGTAGATAATAGAAGATCTATTCTTCTATTATCTACTCCTGTATATATATATATATATAATTATTTTCCACTGTGGTGCATATGAATGGAATATGCAATTAAGACACTGCTTAATCAGAATGGTAGGTACTATATAGACTATATACGCTTGATATATGGTGCTCGCGCATGCGCGATATCTCAGAGAAGAACGATATTTTGCAAAAAATACGCATTTAAAATAGAGAGGAGGTATTCTAACATTGCCATAAATATGCATTTAATATGGTTAGGAGGCATCTCAGCATAGATTTCTGTAATAAATTATTATCAGTAGACC